TCCAACAGAAAAGCTCCCGGACCAGACTCAATAACTAACACACTAATCAAAAACTTGCCGAGGGAAACAATAATACATCTTCTCCAAATTTGCAATGGAATCATGGTGCTCCAACATTTCCCGACGGCCTGGAAGCATGTTAATATTGTTTTCCACAAACCCAGCAAAGACATAACGCAACCGCAATCATACAGACCGATATCCCTACTCAACTCACTGGGCAAAGTTACAGAACGTTTGTTAGTCAGCACATTAGCAGGCGCCATCAACACCCTCCAGTGCCTACCCCCAGAACATTTCGGCTTCCGACAAAAGCATAGCACGACGCTAGCAGTAGCAAAAGTGGCTCAGGATGCAATTGCATCATTCAACAACCGGGAAAGCACTTTCCTTCTGCTTCTTGACATAGAGGAAGCCTTCGACAAGGTATGGCACAAGGGCCCTATATACAAGATGCTGACAACACACAACCTTCCCCTCCACTATGTATCCCTCATAACATCCCACCTAAGTAATATATCCTTTGCCATTAAAATAAACTGCTACCTCTGCCAAACCAAACCTCTTAACGTTGGAGTCCCCTAAGGCACCGTCCTCTCCCCAACCCTTTTCAACCTATACATAGCGGACCTTCCCAAACACCCAAACAAAAACATAATGATGTATGCCGATGACACACACGGCAGTGTATACCAACGCATTTTTGGCAGAGGATGCGAGAAGGGCGTTGGTAGACCATATGGATCAAAACACGCCGTATCTGGAGAAATGGAAGATCACCCTCAACGCCGCAAAGACGGAGTTGCTCACTCTAACAAGAAAAAGAACAAACATCATTATGGATCCTCACCTGTCAATCGGCAGTACGGCTATCGCCTCAAAAACATCGGCTAAGTACCTGGGGATAATCCTGGATAAGACTCTCCGGGGCTACCCTCAGGTAACCCAATCGCTCAAAAAAGCCTACGCCGCAAAAGGCTCCCCATCCCTACAATGACTCCTTCCTTTGTCCCAAAAACCGTATTGTCATATACAAATCCATCATCAGGCCAACTCTGCAGTACGGAGCTCCCGCCTGGAACTACATCTGCAACACCCAAAAACTTAAACTCCAACGATACCAAAACAGGATGCTCATGACCGCCCTTTCACTGCCCTGGGATACAAGGACAGTGGAAGTACACAGACTGGCGGAATTGAACAGTATCCTGGAATATTTCAACGAAGTCTCGTTGAAATTTTTCAGGCAGACAGCGCAAGGACCTAACATAACCAAAAATCTTGCCTCCTTCAAACTTAACCCCGAAAATCCCACAACACATCGGCCCATACATCATCGACTCCCAATATACTTCGACCTACCTTGATCAGGAGAGCAGAGACTGCAGGAATTTAGCGCTTTATGCTAAATTTGACGGAAGGTAGCGCTAAAACTCTACCCAACACTCGGACACTCGGCAAAGTTTCAGAAAGCCTGATTATCGCTACTACCCCTACTACCCCTGGTAAAGGGCCAAACCATCGGCCAATTCAATGTGAAAATAGCACCTATATGTATTGTGAATATTTACATATTTATCAGTTGTATAAGTGTTAGTTGTTTTTGTAATTGAAATTTATAAGTTAAGTAGGTCAAGGTAGCTTAAGTTAATTTGCTCGAAAACCATAAGCCTAGGAATAGTGTAAATTACAGGGTTTGCAGAGCTCATTGAGAGCTACAAATTCTGAAAATTTCGATGTTATTTGTTCAACGGTTACCGAGCAATTGAGGTTTGAATATTTTGAAATCAGAATTCAAAGGGGGTACCCTTATGAAAAACTGTTTTTTTTTATTTTCCAACTTTGTTCAATTTTGTCTTAACCAATCAACAGAGTGGATCAAAATTATTGAGAAACAACCATAGCATTATTTCCAAACGGTCATTTCAAGTAGAAACAAAAATAAAAAAGAAATTCTATTGTTGGTTCTGGAAAATTTTCAAAATCTTGACATGGTCATGTGCAATTGGCCCTATCTTTGTTAAATTTCAAGCAAATTGAAATAAATTAGATAGCAATGGAAAGATCATTAAATTCTCTATAAATAGGGGTATGAGCTTGAATATAATCAAATAGCCATTACTAATTCAAGATTTGAAAATATTTATCATACTTTGATATTTGATAAGATAGTTGTGGAATGTGAAAAAAAAAATGCAATAATTATTATTTAAAGAAAATTAAGAAAGGACATCGCACACATCTTATGGGTTTTCGGGGACCGGTCGATTTTTTGAAAAATTTGGTATGTTGTAGTACCTACTAGTAAAAATAAGCATTTTTCATCATTGCACCAAATCTCTAACTATATATGGTGACCCAGTAAAGTGGGTCCGAAAATCATTGCCAAGCCTTTCAATTATTGATGTTAGTACGCACTGCAAGCTACATATCGGGATTTTTTTTCCATTTCGCAAATAAATAGTCTAGATAAGCCTAATATATTATACAGGGTGGCTAAGCTTAGTATTCTTTTAGAAATACTGCCCTATTCTTAGTAATAGTGTTACCAAAAAGGTCGTGCTAGAATTAATTTGCCCGTAACTTTTCGAATTTTTGTCTGATTTTAGAAAATCTGGTCTCAAAATAAAGCCTATATCACAGAGGGATGTTATGAATTCTGAAAAAATGACAAATCTCATAGAATTCGTGTGAAATATCGCCTTTTTTGGCCAGAAATCGTCAACAATTTACAACTGAGGAAGCAAATAATACTCGTAAGATTACAAAGACACGTTGGATGGACATTTGAAATCTGTGTTTAACACAGAATGTTGTGACTGGTGCAAAATATTGAAAATGCCCTACAGGAAAGGATTCAAAGAGAAAACATCCAACAAACAAAGTTTTTATTCATAATTATGCATTCTATTTATTTTCAAAATCTTACGTGAAATAGTCATGACGAATACCACTCGAGAAAAAATTGTGTAGGCAAAATTGTTCACAAGGTTTTATTCAAGTTTGTTGCTTTTCGGCAATTTCGCTCATGACATTTTTGAAAAAATTTTGTCAAAAATGTGAAATTGCCAAGCAACAAACTTTCATACCTTTCGAAAATTTTGCAGACAAATTTTTTTCTCTTGTGATATTATATATGAAAATTATATTAATTTTTCTATTCTCACTGTTGAGTATTCATGAACTAAAACTTTCCGAATATTTCTAAATATTTTCGGGGTTCACACAAGATAAGTAACGAGAAATTTTCTGTTTGTATCATTTTTATTCTCCCCTGTACTGGATGGAGGGGATCCAGTATTGGGCACATACTGCACTTGCACAGTTATAGCGTTGTTAGCGACTTTAGCTACGCGCGACATGAGAACAATGTGAAGGATCCATCAAATACGTTACTTATATTAGGGCCGGTTTATCAATAGCGAGTCGCCTCCGGGTTGATTATAACTCCAGGGTAAATGTTTCTCCACAGCGAGTTAGCTATAACTCTTGGTGTAACCTTGGGTTAAATTGACTTACTGTTGATGATAATGTGGGTTTAGCGATTTACCCCTTGAGATAACCTGAAAAAACTTTTTCTTATCGTGATCTAGTGATTTGTCAATTTTGTAGTAATACATATTTTTTTTCCAAAATAGAAATATATGGACTGATTGATGAAGATGAAGATTTCTACAATTTCGTAGCAAAAACGCCTCATATAATCCGCCAAAGGATTAATCCTCTCGAGAAATACGATGACTAGGATTTCTCTACAAAAGGATTAAAAGTTCATGTCTGACCTCTTGCACCCTATAATTCGCTTATATTATAGCTTGATTATTTATTATTATTTTTTCTGATTCAAGGAAGTTTTTTCCTCTTGCGATATCTTTCTTCTCCATGACTATTGACTACACACACTGCATTAACCACGGTCTTCAAAAATTAACAAATTGTAATGAAAAAACGGTGCGCCAGAAAGAATACTCGAACTTATCATAATAAACAACAACAAACTCCAAAATGTTTTGTGAATGGGCTAATTTGACGATCGACTCATGCGTGACTGCTTTCGACCAATCAAAAATATGTTAGGATCACCATCCTGGTAAACAATAATGCTACCAACTATTGCCTAACCCAGTGTTCATTAACTCCACCTACAGTGGATGCTTGAGAAACACAATCCTCAGTTAACCCAAGGTTGAAATTAACACCGGGCTTAGTTAACCCCTAGTTACTCGCAATTGAGGAACCGCCCCTTACTTTAGGTGTATTGGGTGTATTCAAGACCATAATCGAATGAAAAGTTATACTTTTATCACGTTCAACCATCTCGAATTTTATCACATTTTTAATTTTTTTAGATTTCATGACATCCCTGTGATATAAGCTTTATTTTGATACCACATTTTTTTAGATCGAACAAAAATTAAAAAAGTTACGGCTAAATAAAATCCAGCGCGACCTTTTTGGTAACACTATTTCTAAAAATAGGACAGGATTTCTAAAAGAATACGCAAGCTCATCCACCCTCTATAGTATATCAGGCTTATCTGATTATTTATTTGCGAAATCGAAAACAAAAATCTCGATATTTAGCTTGCAGGGCGCGCTAATACCGATAATGGAAAGGCTTGTTTTATGATTTTCGGACCTACTTTACTGGGTCACCCTGTATAGTTAGAGATTTGGCGCAATGATGAAAAATGCTTATTTTTGCTAGTACTACAACATACCAATTTTTTAAAGAAATCGATCGGTCCCCGAAAACCCATGAGATGTGTGCGATGTCCTTTATTTATTATAAGTAGGTACCTACTCAAAATACCTCACGCAAAATACTGCTTGACATAATCAAGTAAAAATCCAAGCATTTTAGAATAGATATTGGAAGTACAAGTACATAACAAAGAATATACTTAACCTAATTTCAAGTTATTTACTTCAAATATTGACAACTCTGATTATATGTAAGTATATAAAAATTATTTTATTAATATGATGATTTTTCTTAGCTGTCTTCGAAGATCTAGAGTACGTACGGACCCACGACAGCCTGGAAGGTATGCCCTTGCAGTTACCCTTTTGGTATCCCTTTTCTCACGGAGAACATTACAAACTAGTACTGGGATTTCAATTTTATATTGTATTCTATTCAAATGTATGCCATAGTTGGCTACAGGCATTGCCTGTAACGTTAATGACCCAAATTACTGCAGAAATTAAAATACTGCAACATAATATTAGGAATTTCACTAGAGATTATACTACAGACGAAAAACTATCCAAGGAAAATGCTTATTTGAATTTGAAAAAGCTAATTAGAGATCATCAGAATATTATTAGGTAGGTAGGTCAATTCATATTCAACTATTGTAAAAATTAAATAAAAGTTTTATATATTTCACTGTCATGGATTTCTCTATGTTTCAGTCAAACATCCAAACTGAATAAAGCATTACGTGTGAACATTTTTATCGAATACGTGATTTTTTCAGCAATGTTAGCATCAATACTTTTACAAGTGATAAGTGTAAGTAATCGATTCAAAATCGGGAATTGCAGATTTTCAGTTTCGAGGAATATTCAGTTCGTATCCCACAGGGGAGTCAAATACATATTGTACAATTATTATTTCATAACTTTTTACATCTGACACACATTTTACTCCAATCGAATATCATGAATGGCGCTAGAGCAGCAAATTGATGCACTGCATATTTAATTAACAGCGAAGTTTCAACAAACCCATTAATTAATAATATAAATTATTGAGGACCAACATCTGGTTTACAAATTCTCTAGTCAATCAAGTTTGTAAGCTCATAAATAATTACCCAGCTAGTTTATAATTTTATAAAGTAGCCAATAGTAAATTAGAGTGTCTGAATGAATTCATTATTATTTTATGTTTTAGGGCAAGAAAGTTTTTTTCAACAGTATCTATATTGGCATCCTTGCATTTGGTTGGTTTATACTATCTTATAACGCTAATGAAATTCAATTTCAGGTAAATAATTTACTAGGGCGATACGATAATACAACTGTTTTATGTGAAAATGCTTTTGAATCTAAAAAATTAACATGAAAAATATATCAAGTTTAATACAAAAATATAATATTTCAGAGTACAAACTTAGGAATGGCTGTATATGAAAGCAACTGGTACGAACAAGACAAACGGACCAATCAGCTGCTATTTATTTTATTGATGAGAACACAAAAGCCCCTATCGGTCCATATCGGTCCTTTCGGACCCTTGACAATTGATGCAGCATTATCGGTAAGATCTTTCGTTCTCCTTTAAGGGATTGATTCTGTGTTAAATTAGTGAATCTTGGAATAATATAATATTATGTAGATCGTTTTCGAAGAAGTTATGTATAATCACTTGTATGAGTCGCAAAACATATTGAATTTATCATATGCATTATGACTTGTATGGGTCGCAAAATATACTCCTGGACAAAATTATCGCACCACTGCACATGAGCATCACCATAAGCAGTGGTGCGATAATTTTGTCCAGGAGTATATATTAAATTTATAATTTTGTTTCAGAGGTTCAAACTTGCCTATTCCTACCTGTCAGTTATGTCGTCTTGAAATATATTCAGCTATAAATATTATTGTTTAGTTGATAGCGAAACTTGAAATGAAAATATAAGTAGGTACAGCATAGGTGTAGCATTAAAAAATTAAGAAAGATCTAAATGATTAAAAATTCTATGCACATTTTTACAAGCGTTTTAGGAAAGTTCTTAGAAAAGCATCCCAGTATTTATCACCTTTAATAAGCCCTAGAATATTTAATTAAATACATTTGGAAGTCTCACTACAAGAATAATTTTATATAATATTGTACAGTAAACTTTTCCAACTTTTCGAACGGAAATTCTCAACTGGCCTCTGATCGGGTAGGGTGCGATCCGCCCTTTTCACGACACCACCCCTGTTCGAGTTTTATTGTATAAGAATTCTTCCCACTGAACATGCAATGTTACGAAAGCCTAATGCAATATTACTCTGATATGCTCTGATCTTAGTTTCGCAACATTACAATGTAATATTGAATTATTTTTGACACAACATTACGTTAATAAATTACAAAATGGAATATCCTTGAAATTTTAACGCATATTAGAAATTATAACTTGTACGCAAATTAACATTGTAAATATGCATTTAAATTGAACTGGTATAATTTTTGCAATGTTATAATAACTACCAAATGTAAACTTGCTGCAAAATTGGAAATATAGCTTGTAGGTAAGGTTACATCGCAAAGATGCCTTAAAGTTGTGTTGTATTATATTATTTTGCGATGTTATAATTTAATATTGAATGTAAACTTGCTGCAATATAGCAGAAATAATATATTGGAAAATCGAAAGCTTTGCCGCCATTAATAACGATCGGAACGACATCGGGGATACGAACTAAACCGAAAGCAAATCGACGCCATCTAGTCGCTGTTTGTCGTTTGAGTTGAGTGCTGTGTCTGCTTGTTGAATGTTGTGCCTGTGATAAAGCGAATCTCGGCTAAATTTTTGGTGTTTGTGTTGGGATTATGTATTGGATCGGTTCAGGGTGCTTTGCTTTTTGGTTATTTTTATTATTCAATTTCTATTTTAGAACCTGTGGAAATGAAATAAATATACAGCGATTACAATGGATGAGGATTCAAATAAGGTGAGTAAGGTTTGCATAGTCAATAAATACTTTTTACAAAAATACTGCGGAATGGGGCCCCTTTTTTGTAAACCGTAACATCTTTTTTTCATACCTACAAATCCCGTATTATTATTATATTACTTATTATGATTTTACGATAATATTTTAGTTAGGATCAAAAATATGGTAAACCGTTTGGTAGGTAATGTCCAGAAAGAAAGTGGCTACGACGGGGAATAATTATTATATTAAAAATAGAGAACTACTCCCTGATTTTGTTTTTGTTTCAGGTGACAATATAAGTAGCAGCTGTGGTAGCAGCCAGTACCTACTTCGTCCTGTGTGTCAACCAATCCAAAATTTCGCTTTTTTTTCTGTTTAGAATTTTTATTTATTTTGCTTTGAGATATTACTTTTTACGTTTTGTTTTTCACCTAAGTATATTTTTTTATTGTGAGTATTATAGATATACATAATATACCTACCAACCTTTTTATTTTGTTTTCCAAAAACTTGTACTTTTATTCATAATAAAATATCTACCTAATATATGATTATGGGTTTCAGGCACAAATTTTAACAAAAGAGTTTATGCACCGCAACTATAATCTCTCTGTATAGGTACATAGAATTTACAGTTGCAGCATTACTTTTTTATTGCAGTAAAGTTGCGAACCCAATATATTTGTAATAAAAATGCAATATTGCAGTAAACTTTCTAATAAATTGCAAGTAACCCTAAGGTATATTTGAATTTGTAACCTTACACTCGTAAGTTTGCTGAAGTTTTGATCTAATATTGCAGTAATATTGCTGAAAGGTTATCATTTATAAACCTTGCATTTGTAATATTACCCTAAAATTGTTTCAGTACTTGCCGCAATACTGCGTCAACATTACAGTAAACTTCAATATAACCTTACAAGTTTGCAGTGTAATGTTACCTCATTATTACTGTAATCTTATTTTGTTCAGTGGGTATAGTCTGGGGTACCTAAACCAATAAAATAATCTAAGAGGACAGATAAGAGATACAATTTTCTCCCCGTAACTGGATTCCGGAATATTTAGCACAAAATATATTTTTTTAATACATACTTACATATATGTGAGATACGATACGATACAAGTATATACAAAGGATTTTTTTTTTGAATTAAACTCACTCTAGCTTTATTAGCCATGACTTATCAGGTGAGTATCTCTTTTAGCATAATTCAAAAAAAAATAAAAATTTTCTGCTTAGGTTACCAAATGGTTATCCTCATTAAAATTAAAAAAATATTTTAAATTTCAAATTATTTTAGTTGGCGCGAAAACGATAACCTTCAAAATGGCGGTACTTGTGACGTCAACTGTCTGTAAACACAACGTTAAGGACGTTAAGGTCTGTTCTCACAAGAGCCTCTGACACTTTGCAAACTGTCAGAAAGAATCGTTCAGCTTGAACCTTCGACTGCATTGAAAGCAGTTATTACGTGGTGTTTTCGTATTTAGTGCCGTATTGTGACATTTCATGTGTTAAATCGTTCATCATGGTTGGGTTGATAAAGGATTTAGAAAAGCACAGTCTTACAATCTTTCCTCTATACTAGACTCATTTATGGTGGTTCAATATCAGTCGTGGCGTGACGTGAGCTGATCGTGGACTAATCGTTTTACAACTCGAGAGTGAACCATGAAAATGTGGACCGTGGATTCACGATCAGTGTAAACTACCCTTAACCTTAATTTACGAACAGTTGACGTCACTGGAAGGGGCCATGTTAAACGTAACTTTTCCGCGCGAAACTTTTCAATTTAAAATTAATAATTGCCGTATGACTACAATATCGATAAATTTAACGCAAAACTGCTCATATTCAATATTTTACAGAAAAAGGTGCACCATAAAAACAAAATAAGACATATTTATTTCTCATGAAAATTCCCTAATGTTGTAAAGTACAGAAAAAGTACATTTATAAAAACTCAATTTTTTATTTTTCAGTTTTGTTCAATTTTGACTTCACCAATCGTTAAAGCGGGTCCAAATTATTGGAAAATAACCCTGACATCATTTTCAAATTGCCATTTTGAACAGAAATAAAAATGAAATCTTATTTTTGGCTTTTGAAAATTTCCAAATTCTTGACATGTCTTGAGCAATTGCCGATATCTTTATTGAATTTAGAGCAAATTGAAATAAATTATGTACCATTGGAAAGAGCAATCAATTCTCTATAAATTCGTGTAAAATTGAGCTTGATTGCTCAGAAAGTTTTCGAGTTATTGAGCCTCAAAGTTGACTTTTAGTCTAAATTTTGTCGAAAATTTCAAATTCAATTTTCCCAAAAACTATAAATCTGGGAATATTGTAAATTACACGTCTTTTAGAGATTGATAAAAGTAACAAATTCTGGAAATTTCAGTGCAATTTGTTCAACGGCTACCGAGCAATTGAGGTTTGAATATTTTGAAATCAGAATTCAAATTTTGAGTTTTGCTCAATTTTGACTTTACTAATTGATAGAGTGGAATTAGTGAGAAACATACCCTGACATCATTTCCAAATGACCATTTTAAGCAGAAACAAAAATAAAAAGGCAATCTTATTTTTGGCTCTTGAAAATTTTCAAACTCTTGACATGTCTTGAGCAATTGCCCATATCTTTGTTAAATTTCAAGCAAAT